TTATTTCCCTCTTCAATATTTACATACATCTCCAATGTTTTCTCACTAATCTACCTACTTTTGTTTCCACACATCCTTGTTCTCTATAATTGAGATTTTCCCTAATTTTAATTCATTATTTTATAACCAATATAATTTTTTTCTGTGTTTTTATTTGATAAAACTATGATACTGCAATAACATAACTTTCATAAACAGTCTTCCTGGAACGGTAAGTTGTTTTTCCACCATTAGCACATTGAGCAGGGAGTACTTGAGGATAATTGACAGCGCTAAGACCTTCCTATTGATTCTGATAGGTTGTTTTTCCACTGAGAGCAGTGGAGATCTTTTTTTTTTTACAGATAATTTGTCTCACAACAAACTGTCACAACATGGTGACAGTTTTGACTGATATTTAAAAAGTATATATATATATATTTACATTTAAATAAAAGTTACATAGTGCAGCTTTAACCCAAACTCGCCTCCTGATGCAATCACCCTGTCACTGCAGTCTGTGACAGGGTGAATGTGGCTCTAGCAACCAGAAAAGCTGCATGAATTCAGTCCTAATCTGTCGGTTTTACAGTGAGAGTTTGTTTTCAGGTTGCTTCTTCTCCATCTTAGGTGAATAACAGGAATCATCTTAATTGGAAAGGCTGCCTCCCCTCTTATGCCCTGCAGGATGTTAACATTTCCCTGCTGCTCATTAAACAATCAGTGTGATGTGTGAAGAAGCTTGACCTCCCTCTGTCGCCGTTTGGCCTGGTTCTGCTGCCTCTTCCTTCCTGCTGCAGGCAGCTTTACAGAAAGGCGTCGACTAAATTGATTTAGCTCCCGACCAGGCACACATGGTTTCTCTAGCAGGGCGTTAATTGCATTTCTCTCCGAAAGACTCTCATGACGATCATATAACACAAACACACAAAAGAGAGTATCTTTCTCACATTATCTTAAATTTGCTGCAATGATGACAAGGGGAGAAAAGAGATTAATTCATTTGTAAAAGTTGTGTTTTTTTCACTTGTTTCACTGCCTTAATATGGAAAAATAACATATTTGTGTAGCAGTCTAACAAACATAGCTTAAGTTCTTATCAAACTAATTGACATTTCTGCCTTTGAAAGTTTTATTACACCAGATTTGACAGCTTTTTAAATTAGAAGCAAAACTAAGTGTGTGCTTATAGTTTGTAAACAGTCTGCAGCTTTAACATGTGTGTTTAAGCTGCATTTTAATAAACAGGGTCTGTTTGGAAGACCGATCTGATCTTTGCACCCGCTTTAACTTCCTGGCTGATGTGCAGAGATGCTGCTTCGATATCTCTGCTTAATATTCTTTCTCTGTAAGACCAATCTATTTTATGGAGTGCACCATTATCTCCTGCAGTAAAACACCCACGCAACACCTCATATATCACAGTTAGGATGACGTCCGCAGGCTTACTGCTACCCCCACTTTATTTCTAATGATGGTCATTATGGCCAAACATTTCAGTTTTAGTTTCATCAAAACACAAGATCTGTCTCCATCATTGGGGCCTGCCCATAGCAATGCATGAGGAGAGCAGTGACTGACTTGCTTTGCGTACTTTGGCAGGCCCCGGTTAAATTTCTTCTGGATTTTTTTTTTTTTCTAGTATTTATTATTCTTCCGTTACCATTAAGGCGGCTCGTACCGCTGCGTGCCCACCCACAAAAGTGGTATCAAAACATTGGAGCTATTACTTTTAGTGGGATTCGGAGTTACCATGGCGACGTAAAAATCGAAAAACGACTAAAATTTCAAATTGCCGAAACTTAAGGGTGTAACTGACGTTTTGTTGGGAAACAGTGCAATTTTGACCCCAAATACATTTCGAAACCGCCGTCTCGCCCACTAATATCGCCCTATCGGTATCAAACTGTTACACTATTTTTCTAATTGGCAAATTTATTTTTCTAAAACCCATTTCCGTAATTTTAAGGTCAATTGAAACGTAGCTAGTTAAACCTTTCTGTGGATTCAGGTAAGTTTGAAACTTTTCTTTTGGTTTTTGTGGTGAAAACTGCTGCAGTTTGAGGCGTTATCCTTGTTTTGGGAAATTTTCACACTAGTAAACAAATGTTCTGGAAAAATGAGTTCTTATGGAAAGATATGCTGAATCTCATAGTTGGAAAAAGTCGTTGCAAAAGTAATTTCTTCACTTTTTCACAAATTGTAGCATTTCTATAGCAGCAAGTCTGAGAACAATTTCCAAACTCTTATAAACTTAAATAAATAAAAATAAAAATAACTCTTTTTTTTTTTTTTGTCTTCAGATAGTAGCAATTTGATTTGCTTCCAAGAGAGCCAATCAGGAGCCTTTAGGGCAGGCACGTGCAGAGGAGGGGGCACAAGGGGCCTGAGCCCCTGCGCCTTTTATCCTTGATGCCCCTGGTGTCCTTTTTGATGTTTTCATTTTTTCTTTTTCAAACAACATTTTTTTTTCAATATTTTATCTGTATGTCAGAAGGTCTGCTTGTGCCCCTCAGCAATAATATTAACTAAATATAATAATTGATCAAAATAAGCTAGTCTGGCTGCCCTCAGTCTAATGACGCTGAGAGTCCATGGTGAGGAGGGGGTCAGATCTGTGACTCTAACTACAAAATATTCATACCAATGTGTGAATATTTTGTTCATTTTTAAGCCTGTTCAAATTATAAACCTTATAGAATGATTAAAAAACTCTACTTACAGTAAATGAATGGTTTAATTATATCATTCTCAATCTGAACTTAATATTTGACTATTAAAATCCCAGTTTTAATCCGTAGCCTCCTGAAATGTACACCTCCAACATCCGTCATGATTAATCCTTTGCCCCAAATGATTTAGTGATCATTTGAGGCAGTTCTGCATTGCTAACTATTAACCCTATTAAAGGGTCAATAGTTAGCAATGCAGAACTGATCTGACCGTTTTCATAGCAACGATCAGAAGCAAGACATTCCCCCAGAACCACAGTGATCTCATCGCAGCTATGACCTCACTGCCTATGAGGTCATAGTTACATAGATCAAAGAGCTTCTAGGGTTATAAATGCTTCTGTCTCAAAATATCAGGTAGGAGACCAGCAACTCTTTGACATTTGACACTTTGTTTCTTTCAACAATTTTTACAATGGAAAACGTTTTAGTGACCCTGTTTTTCCCCCTCTCTTTTAGCGCAGGATACCTGATTACAACTGGTGTGAGGAAGGTGTGCAACAAACTCCTTCCTCACATCAAGTTTGAAACAAACCATCAAGATGACTGCAACGATTACGATGAATTTGATGCCTTTCTCTTCAATCCTCCTCCAGCTGGACAACAAACCTCCCTGGCCGGGGAAACCTCAGAAGACAACAATGCTGTAGAGACAATTGACGAGGATTGCGTGAGTTTTCAGCCTGAACCGGCTGAAAACTCACCATCCGGTTTGACAGGAAAGGGATCAGATGTCGCTGATCCCAAAGAAGAAACTTCCCGGCTGGGGAAGAAAATGAACATCGGTGCCCTGACCACTCGACGTCGAATCTGAAATCAAGCGATAAGAAGAAATCGGTGCATTTCGCTGAGCTGCCTGTACCTTACAAATATGAAAGACCTGGCTGTTACATCTGTTATGAGGAGGCAAAAAAGAGACGCAGGCAACAACCTGAAGAAGAAGACCCATGTTGTTGTGCTGTATGACGTACAGTCAACATACAGCACAACATGTTATCGTTGCTGCAGCATCTTGTTGGAAACGTTGGAGGAGCTTTGTCTCCAGTACAAAGAGATTTTGTGAACATTAGATAATAGATGGATGATGGAAACATTTTTTTAAACTTGTTTATATGAATGGGCTCTTTGCACCTGCCGCGCTGACGTCACAACTGCATGCCCAAATGCAGCTCTTTTTTTTCGCTTTCAGTTACTATTACTGCTATAAAAGTCAAAGTCGTACCTAAGACACAAATAAAACAATACTATGCACTTTGTTTAAGTGTTCGTGGATTTCCAAGCGATCCTGAATTACGACGGCTTGTAAATATTCGTTGCTACCAGTTGAAGCTAACGCCACACAACAACGTTTGCAGCCTTCATTTCACTCCGGATCAGATTCTTCAGCCTAAAGACGAAGGTAAAGGAGCCGTCCTGTGTTATTAACATTAAATCGCTTCTGTATTCAGCCTGAAAGAGCGAGTGTTTGGGAACGAGAGAGCAGAACCGGACAGCCGAGCAACTGATCCGCCTGAACACACCGCTGTAAACACAGCTGTAAACACCATCCTAATGAGCCTGGGCTCGTTGTGCTTCTTCGGGCTGGAAGCAAAAAGCCTGAACTGTAATCTGCCCCCCGCCAGCGTTTATTGTCGTTAACAATAAATACATATAATATACTTGAAAATAAGGTACAAACATTGTCCGATAGAATGGATGAGAAATGTTTAGATACTTAAATAGCAGATTTTTACAAGAAAAATGTCCGAGAATATTGCCTACTAGCATAAGCTAAAGCTAATGTTAGCCACAAAGTTTAAAGAAAGTAAAACTCACCTTCTGTGAATGTATAAGGAGGCGAACATCTTAAAACCTTTCTCCGGCTTACTTGTTGGGGCTTCGGATCGATGTACATTATTAATTGTTACCTTGGAGAAGCCCTGCAAATGCCCGGTGTAAAGTACCGTTTTCAACAGATCGGAAACATTTGAGCCGTTTTTTCCCGAACGCGGAAACTCAGGTGCAAAGAACCCAATATTCTTAGTATATAATTAATGTAATTCTTAGTAATATAGTAATTATCATATTGCAAAGTACTATACTAAAATGACTCCAATAAATCATAACAAGTATTGTTAATAACAACAATAATAAATAATTATCAATATAAATATTAACAATTAGTAATATTTATATTGATAATTATTATTACTGTTGATTATGATAGAAGCAACAAAGTCATTGTAATTCAATATTGTTTTTTTTAAATAATAATAATAGTAATATTGATATCGCAACACAAAAAGTTGAGTTTGAGTTATCCAGAGCTATAGACTGGCTAACCAGTTTGTTCGCTCACACAATCAGGAGTGGAGATAAAAACCATTCCTACCAGTAGCCCAGAAGTGTTAGCTAATGATGTCTCTGAAGCTGATGTTGAAGTCTTTAATGAAATCCGTAGTGAGATCTTATTAACCTCCATTAAGCTGCAAAGTGCCAATATGTGGTGGTATAAAAGCACCACATACTGTGGGAAATCTCTAAAGATGGAGAAAGTACCACATTAATCTCACTTAAAGAGCAGCAGCTGCACCAGTCCAGCTGTGAGGGGTAATGTTGCACATCTGCCCAGATGTTACAGGTTAACTCGTTGGATAAATAACTCCACAGTTTGGTAGCTTTCCCCACGTCTCTAAAATATGGATGTCCAGTTGTGTCCTCTGTAGAAGCTCCCTGCCGCACCCCACCCTCTCCGTGAATCCCTGTGTGTGTGTGTGTGTGTGTGTGTGTGTGTGTGTGTGTGTGTGTGTGTGTGTGTGTGTGTGTGTGTGTGTGTGTGCGTGGATAAATGTGTGTGCGCACATTCCTTCGCATCCAGAGGAGCGACAGTCAGGTTGAGGCTCCGCGCAAAGAGGACACACTCTCCACGGGGGGAAAAAAAACACCATGCAGGTAGGTCTCAAACATCTTTAATATTCTTATTTTATAAAATAAAATCTTGTCTGTCGTAGAAGGAGAATGCAATAGTTACATTTCCATTTGCTCACTTGTGCTACTTGTTGGCTTCTCGCTGCTTTTTGTCGTGTCCCTGCATCCCTCCATGATCTCTTTGAGCTCGTTTGCTGCCAGTTTTTTGCCCAAAGCGGAGTTTCTTAGTGAAGTTATGTAATTGCAGCTCAGCTGGAAGCTGCATGTGGTGGAAACGCTACGCTCTGCGCGCAGCGCAGCGCAAACCCTGCGGACACCAAGTGTCACTCGGCATCACCGTGACTTTTCCTCTCACTCGTTGAGTCCAGGCTTTTTTCTTTCTTTCTTTCTTTTTTTTTCTTTTTTTACGCGGCCACTTTTTCTTCGTGATTCCGAGTGTCACGCGTGTCTCCAAAGCTGCTGCTGGTAACGTGTGCACGCGCCTCCAGTCCTCGCCTGAGCAGCAGGGAGTGAGTGGGATCATGTGTCTGGAATCATGTGTGTGCAGGTTGGGAGATCAGTCCCCAACAACCAGCAGAGTCTGGATCGAGCAGACTGGAATGTAAAAAGGCTCAAAGTGATTCCCCGCTTGTCAATCCACTCTGGTTGAGTTTCATCCTTTTGAAGGTTTTTCTCCTTCTGAGATGGAAATCAGGAACAACCTGTTACAACGATTCAGATTACATCTTATTTATTTATTTATTTATTTTTAAAGGAAGCAGCCAATTCTGGCATCGTTTCATATCGGAATCGTTTTGTTTGTGTGCATAAATCGCGAACAGAGGAATTATTGCATATCGGAAAGGCGGAGGGGCGATATAGAATTATATAGTTTATCTCAATATTTTGAGGTTCTACCGTGATAATAAAAAATTATGCGTGTTTATGATGACTATTTGTGATTTATTGGATGGCTGTGACTGCATGGCACAGCAGTCATGCCACATAACAAACGCTGTTCTTGAAGCCACTTTCTTAAGGAAGTGGCATTTAAATTACAAAGCTGAACACAGTAACTGCATTTAAAAATATATATTTTTTTATTTACTGATATTTATTGAAATGCTTGTGGAACAAAGGGAGAAAATAGTTTTAAAAATCCAACAATACTTTTTTTATTTAGGATATTTAATTAAATCAAGACAACAATAAATCAAAAAATGTCATGATAAATGCAATAAATGTATAAAACTTTTTTTTCGGTTTTTACGTCCAAATTTCAAGTATTTCCAGATTAACCTATACAGGCATCTCTGTCATTTAAAGCCCATTTTAAAATCAGTTATTAAAATATTCAATCTAAGTTGTTTTATTAAGTGGTGAGAATTTGGGAATGGCAGTTTTACAAATTATGTAAAAACCTATTTTGTGATTATTAAATTATAAATAAATAAACATGGTTGATTGATGAACGAATGTTTTTCCTGTTTTCTGCAGGAAGCCTGAAGTGTCCGACACGCAGTTCTATTTTGCAGTTCTGGTTTTTAATCTCTGGATTGCTGTCTTTCTTTCTCTCAAACTTCCATTTTGACCAGTTTGTGTTCATTCTCCAATTCTTTAACGTCTTTTAGATTATATTGTTGCCAAATGCCTTCCCACTACTTTCTGTCATAATGCAGCTGAGATGCCTGTTGATGCATATTAGGCTCATACCAAGAATCAGGTTGGAGGCACTGAGCAGTCAGAATGTGAAGAGGTCAGATTGAGATTTTCAGTGCAGCATTCAGAGCACAGATTAAAAATTATGCAAATCTTAGACTGGGGAAAGTTGTGAAAATATTACTAGACCCAATTAAGCCTACAGAGGTGGGTGTGCTGTATTCAAGTGAACAAGTAAACAGAAGAAAATATATATTTAATTTAAAAGAGTTCTGTGTTGCTTTATCAGACATGAAAATATGTTAAGTATGTATAAATACAGGCAGCTGTTAGTATTGCATTGGTGGTTCAAGTAAGGCTGTAAGAATACATTATATTTGCACACAGAGAGGGACTATATATTACTTTTTGTATTATTGTATTATTATTGAATTGTTCTAGATATTGTATAATCATTTCATGTCAAACTGTTAAACAATGTTTAAATTTCCAAAACTCTTAATTTTTCTGATTAATGTAAACCCACAAATATACTCATCTGCTTCCCATAAGTCAGCCAACAGGTAATTTTACTTGAATTTATTTTGACTGGTGTTTTTTTTTTTTCAGCATTACGTAAATCGTAGTTTAAAAATTGTTGCACTGTGAAGTCATTATTAGACGTTTGCATTATAAACAAGCTTGAAACATTTATATTTTCTCTTCTGGCTGACTGTCAACATGCAGGTGTTTGAATTAAATCATGCTGTGAGGCATCCGAGGGCCTCATGTTTCCAGCGCTTGACTCACTTCAGTTATTTTAAATAATATAATGAGCAGTTGTTTTCTCATTCTGACCCAATTTCAGCGGGATAAGACGGGCTGTCAGAGAGCTGAATTTCTCCCATCTTAAAACATTAGTACACTAGATCTTCGGGATGAAAAATACTCATTTTATGCTGGAAACTAAATCATTTTTATTTGATGTGAATCTTTTATGCAAAATTCATATTTTGCATGTTGTTATACTTGTTGTTATACTCTGTTGTTTCTAAAAACAGCCAAGTGCTTAGAAAAATCACCCAGCTGTTTTTTGAAATAAGTTTATGTTTTTTAGTGTCCTGAAAATTAATGACACAATCAAGATATATTGGCAACTTAATAACTTATTAATTTACCAAATATTATTTTTACTCTGACTCCTCAGCTGATCCTCCAGATGTTCAATGTTCAAATTCTGGGCGCAGCCTCTGACAAATCCTGCACTGTGCAGAAAGTTTTGACTTCTTGGAAGATAGATCATACAAATATGCTCTGCTCTCCCTCCAAAGTAATTTTCCAAATTGTGCAAATTGTCCTTTGCACAAATATCTTCAATTTTTGTTCAAAAGCTACTCTCCCTGCTTCAGATGTCTCTTCAGAAATAAAACCAAAAGAGAAATAGCAGATTTTCTTTTCTCTCTTGCAACAAAGTGATAGTCTGATATGGTACCAAAACTGACGTCACTGACTTACTTAGGGTACGGCTGGTGTTTAAAATATTTATTCATTTTGATGATTTTCTGCTTACAGTTAATAAAAACATAGCATTTCAAATTAGGACACATCAAATTCAAATTAAAACAAGTAAAACCTTTTTTATTTTATATTTAAGAATCATTAACTTAAAAGAAGTTTATATATCTTGCTGAAAAGTTACTTGTTTAATTTAAAGTGAAAATATTTGCAGTAGAATCTGGACAAAAACTTTTTATGATTTTGTGTTTTTGCAGCGTTGTGTCACTCTTGACAGGTACCTGGCTTCAGCTTGATCTTTCCTAATGGTGCCTGTTTCACAGTCTGTCACAGATCAATGACGGCATGCAGACAGTTTGACTGCAGGGACAGACAGAGGGCTTTGTTATGCAGCTGGCACTTTGTCTGTGGGATCCACCTGTTAAATAGATGGAGTGATTGGCAAATTTAGACTCATTAAATAATTGAACAGTTTCAGTAACTTTATCCTATAAGTGCAGGGGCTCAGCAGAATCCACATCAAACCTGGAGAAGAGCTGTCTGCTGTGCAGAAAACTTAGTAAACTATTTAGTTTATAAACTATTACAGAGTTGTTTATTTTTTTTATTTTTTATTTTTTTTGCTTCTTTATGGAAGGAGTGTGTGATTTTGCATACTTTGGTATTGATCCAATACAGACTTCTGAACCGCGTGGGTCAAAATGGCGGACACATGACTATGAGACCAACAAACAGAAAATATGTAGCTTGTAAAAGCTACATTAGCTAAACTACTTTTGCTACTTAGTTTGTAAGCACTACAGTAAATATCACTGATATTTACCTGAGTATTATTACACAGAGGTGGGCAGAGTACTCAAAAATTTTAATTGAGTAATAGCTATAATGTACTTATATTGTTAATAAATTAGTTAAGAATAAGGGTTCTGAGTGTCATAGCGACTCGATAGCAACTGCCTACCAAGATGGCTGTCAGTTATAAAGTTCAGGGAAGTTTGAACACATTAAGAGCATGAAGACCAAATACTTACCCCGTATTGCTGAATACCGATACCGATATCAATACCGATATGTTTAAATTTAAGTTTGATATGTCATCAAACTTCTGGTCTTCAGGTGTTTCTGTGTCTTTCTCTAAATTATTTTGTTAAATACTTTAATAACATATTAACATTTTTCCTAAATAAACAAATCAAGCAAAAAATATATGATCAAGAAAAGACAAAAACTTTTTTTGTTGAAAGAAACATTTTCCAATTTAAGATTTAAATATTAAAATATATTTCAAAAGTTTCCAGCTGAATCTGCTGCTTGTGCTGGCATGCCGTATTTGTACCATTGTTCAATTTTGACTGAGGCTCCTCACAAAATCAGTTCAAGACCCATAAATGGCCCCCGAGCTTCACTTTGGACACCCTGACCCTAAAACTTCACTGCAAATAATAGCAACAACAAAAAAAAAAAGAAAAATCACATTAAGATTTACTTCTTGTCGAGTTTAAGCATTGTTAAAGCCCTAAAGATAAATATTAAAATGATAGATATTTCAAACTTTTTACTGCTGCCAAAAATAAGAATGATAATAGATTTTACCTACATTAAATTTGGTCGCAGAAAATAAAAATAATGTTTCTTTAATATAAAATACATACATATTAAGGTCTAAAACATGATACAAAGTTGTAAAGTTGACACTGCCACACATAGCTGTGTTAAAAAGAAGAAAAAATCTGACCAATATAATGAGAAATTACCAGCTAAAACAGGGCGATTTCATTTGAGTGAGTGTGTTAAAGAGATAAGAGGAGGAACAGTTGTTAATTGAAAAGTCGCTCCTCCGGAGCTCAGAAGCTCAAAGTCTGTCTCCCCATGAAGACTCAAACATTAATACAGCACACACTCCGTGTCCGTCACAGCTGAGCACACGCAAACACACACAGCATGCAGTCCATATGGATGTGCTATCCTCCCACAGACGCTGCGCTGATTCGCACTGACAGCCGTACTGAGAGGCCCAATCGCTCAGGACACAAATAGTCTCGGCTCTCGACCATCAGCCGATCTTATATAGACTGAACCCTGAGTCATCACAAGAACATATAGAGAAATCATGATATTTATGTCAACTTAAAATAAAGGTCACAGGTTTGTTTGAAATTATGTGCAGCAAGCTGGAGCCAAACGGTGGCTTATTTCCAATATTTCATCAGACTATCGCCAACCTCCTTCCAGCATCTGTGCTCCTGTTTTTCTGTGGAAGACTGACTGATTTGTTTTTGATCTTCATTAAAAAACTTCATTGGTCATGATTTCCATGTATGCCTGTCATTATAACTAGTTTTACTGGTTGATAAATTGTCCCGATAAACATTGATTGAAAACCAGCTGAGCAAATTTCCTTAAACTCATCTCAGGTTGCTAGGTGACCAGGTGGGCTTGGTTGGGCTCACAAAGGTAACAACAAAGTGCCACGTCGAATGTGACTTAACCACTGGGAGTTATTTGAAAAAGCTCATTTTCTAGACACCAAAACACATTAACTTGTTGCAAAAAATGGTGGATGCTTTTTTGTGTGTTTAGACTGTTTTAAGAAGCAGTTGAGACCCAAATGGAAGAACAAAAATGTGCTAAATTTTAATTTAGCATAAGTCCCCTTCAAAAGAAATGTAAGTTCACAATTTAAGACCTTGAAATTGGGTGTCTGTCTCTTTAAGAAGCTTCTACTCTTTCTGACATTCAGCCTTCAGCTCCTGATCACAACAATGCTCCTTTGCTATGCCGTTTGCAGCCGTTCTTTGGAGCGTTGGACTGAGAAGCAGTTTGTCTGATATCCTCAGCAAACGGTCAGTGTCTGCTAATTGCTGCTGCCGCTAGTCTGGAGGGGTTAAGTAGGAGGTAATCAGTGAAGCAGAAGCTCACTGTGTAGACAATAAATGGGTGGATCTTTTTATTTCTAGCTGCTTATTTAGTAATAAGTCTTTTCAATCTGCTGTGTTGCGTCATTTCTTACACAATGGAGATATAAACCACTGCTGGAGATCCTGGATCGTGTATATGTTTTTATCTTTTTCTGGCTGCTGTGTGCGCTGCTCTTCTTCCTTTGTGCTGTCACTCTCTGTCACTCGCTGCTCCTCCTTGTGTTCCTCATCTCATTTTTCTGCATTGTTAAAGCACACACATGCTTGCAGAGGCAGAGTCCTCCATGGATCCTGCTTTGCTTCACCTGGCCTGCATTCTGGTGACAGGTGACGTTACGGTGGGAGAGGAAGGCCTACGAGGAGGAGAGACGAAGGAGTGATTGACAGAGAAATAAATTGGAAAGAATAGGGAAGTGATGAGATGGAGCAATTGAGCACAGAGATATGCAGACATCCAGAGGGAAGAGACATAATAAATATTAATGTGAGGTGCTAATGAAATGGCTGTTGTTTTCTATTCTGTGTGGAGTCTGGGTTTTGTTAAATGTAACCCAGTGGATCAATTAGAGTATCTCTGATTTTCACAACTGATCAATCTGATCAAACTAAGAAGCAGAAAAAAAGGATTTCCAGTCCAACAAGCCAAGTTTGGTACTTTACACCTCAAATCGTGACGGTTTGGAGTCGTATTAAAAATGATTCAATGATCAACCTCGAATTACGTAAATAGATCACCACATGAGGAGACGCATCGGACTCAGGAGCAAATAAACCATCCAGAAAGATTCCATCAGGTTGATTGGGCAGGCCAGTAAAGAGCTAAAAACAGATCAAAATGCAAAAAAGCAGGTCAAGTTCAGATTCTCGTGGTATTTTCAGTGGCTTTCCCTCAGGCTCTGACATATTGGGCTGCCTGCTTCATTGGCAAAGTTTTCCAACGATAAATATTGATTCTGGAGTTTGTTAACCTCTCGATAAAGACTGGGAAGTTTAGTCCATATCTTTACACTGCAAAAACAGAAACTCTTACCACGTAATTCTGGTTTCTAGTGCGAAATGAAAGAAGACAAAACTAACTTACATGTAACTTTTCAGCAAGATACAGAAGCTTGCTTTAAATCAATAATTCCTTCATATTACTGAAACATTTCTTGTTGTATTAGCAGATTATTTCATTTATGAGATGGGGGAAAATGTCTTGTTGAAAGGAAAATAATCTGCCAATAGAACAAGTTCTTTTTCATCAATATGAAGGAATTATTGACTTAAAATAAGCTTCTATATCTTCCAGAAAAAGTTAGTTTTGTCTTGTTTCAGGTGTGCTAGGAATTAGACCAAAACTACTTGGTCGTATTTGTGTTTTTGCAGTGTAGTTACATTTTTTAGTAGCATCACATAATGCGGCCGAAGTTTGTGCGTCATGTAAACCAACATTTATTCGGCTGCTGATCCTTAATAATTTATAGCTGAGGATAATAATGTGTCTTTGCTCTGTGTTTGCTTGCAGAGTCACGGCTGTTTGCTCTGCCTTATGGGCCGGGGACGGCTGTGAGTTAGTGTGCATTTCAGAGGCTGTTGTTCTGACTGCAGCCGCAGGTCAGGGCCAGCCGGAGCATTAAGGAGAGAGACTTCAAATGTGAGCATGTGGGCTGTGATTGGGAGAACTCCGCCGTGTTCAGCAGCCCGTGAATAAACATCTGATACAGCTTTGAATTTTCTTTTGTCTGCACTCTGTCTGTTAGTTTCAGAGTTGCAGAGAAAAGCTGCATCAGAAACTATTCTGGCTTTTCATTTAATCCTTCAAAGAAGAGAGTTTTGATGTGCTTTCAGATTACTCCCCTCCGCTGGATGCACTTTACTAAATTAGTGGCTAAACGGTATATTTTCAGCTCTCTTTCCAATTTGATGCGCTGTCGTTGCGTTATGAGTCAGTTCAGCTCTGTCTGTTTGTGTTATTTATACTGGCTTGTCCAACATTCATATAACTCAACGTTTATCACATTTTTAGACGTTAAAATCACAAACATCTGTGGGTTTTATTGGGATTTAACGTGATTGTTGAATACCACATAATATGTGTCGCATAAACATTGTGCTTCTAATGTGACACTCGTAAATATTTTTAGAAGACACTGAATCCTGATGCAATTTTGTTTTTTGTTTTTTTGCATTTTATGTCGTCAAAGCTGCACAGAAATAGTCTAAGATGTATTCCTCCATCAAAATAAATCCTCCGACTCCTCTGTCTTGCCATCCTCTGACAGTAAGCAATTCATTTTGCGAACTGACTTTGGTTCTTCAAGAAACCTTCCAGCATCCCATTGCTTTCTCTCTCTCTACCTTCCAAAGAGGCATTTGCATGATCTGGCTCCCGAGGGATCAAATAGCCATTAAACATCCCCACTGTTTGCGTTTGTGTTCGTTTTCGTCTTCCCGCCTCCATCGCTCGCTTCTCCTCAATCATCCTTTTCTTTCCTCTCCTTCCAGGAGAACAAACAGAGCTGCTGCTTGCTCTGTGTTCCCCCTCTTTCATCTCCCATCTCTGAATAAATGTGTTTGCTTTGCACGAACTCAGCAGGAGCGGCTAAATGTAGCTTCTGGAAAGTTTAGGTCATTCTCACCAGACCAAATCAGTGTTCGGGTTAGAAAATGAGAAACTGAAAAGTTTTGTCTTCTTTGAAGAAAGGTGGAGAAATGCAAAATATGAATGAGTTGTAATGGTTTGGTGTTCCATAAATAAACTGTAAAAACATTTAAAGGTCCTCGCAGATTTAGATGAGATGAAGAAAACAATCTCTTGTTGTCAGTGTTTTTAAGGTTTATTTCCTCAGATGCACTGATTATTATCAGTTTTTGTAGCACCTCTGTTCTGTTTCTCTTCAATAGCAATAAAAAGTTTTGATTTTAGAGTTTATATGCAAAACTATGCAGGAGTCATGATTTAAATGTTTGTGTTTCGCATCCAAGCAGCAAATCTATTAAAATTGTCTTGACTTTTCACTCATTTTAAGTTCAGTTCCTGAACTATTAAGTACAGCGGAGTGGAAAAGTGTTTTGTTTCTTACAGCCTCATGAAGGTTTGTCACTATTTAAAAAACAAGAAAATGCTGATAAACTTATTAGGCAAAATTCACATTTTGCAAAATTTTTGCACTTCCATTTTTGTCCTAACATCTTCCAAAAAGTAGCCCAAGCGCTTAAAGAAAACACCCGGCCGGTTTTTAGTTTCTGGAAAATAAGCTGTTTCAAATACCTCCTGAATTTTAAATCAAATTCAGCAGGTGCTGTGCGGTTACCTAGCAACCCCGGCTGAGTTCTGCCTGTCACTGAGCAACCCACACAAGACTCAAGGACCTTTGGTCAGCTGGTTTTATCTCTTTATGCTCTGTACAATGGCTGCTGGAAAAGACAAATGGTTTGTTGTTGACTTACCATCCAGAAACCACCTCCTGCATTCTTGTTGGTTGTGCAGGAGGCTCTACTAATGCTTTTCAAAGCATTAGCATTAGTATCCTAACCTGTCCAAGGAAGCATAACCTTTCCGTTTCATAAAGCAAGTAAAGAAATATGTAAAATATAAAATCACAAAACCTAATAAGAAACAGATTTCTTTTTCTGCTTTGTGTAAATTCATCTTCCTATGTTTCTGCGTCGATCTGAATTTCCCTCTTTCCTCTCCTCCATCCAGGCGGACCGCAAGATGGTGGACGGCAGCCTCCTGGGAGATGCGAACGGCGTGGATCCAGCACCGGGCCGGGTGAAGAACTCTGGGAAGTGGCAGAAGCCCAGGTTCTCCAGGAAAGCTCTGATGAAGTGCTGCCTGGTGAAATGGATCATCGCCAGCACGCAGCCGCAGGACAAAGGTGAGAAAACGTAGCGGGAAAGAGAGCGAGTGAGTCTGACACAAATGAATCCACAGCAGCTGGAACGTGTTCAGATTGATTGTCGACTCGATCGGATGGATGGAGACCCTGTGGGCTCCACTGACTTATTGTGTGTGGCAGAAAACCTCAGGGTCAAGTATCTGGAGATCATTGAGCTGCACACACTCATCTATCAGATGTGCTGGGAGAGCATTAGCATTCTCTACACATCTTTTGTTTCAGGGTGATCCTTTCTGCTGTTGACACAAACAGACACAATTTCCATTCCTGAAGGATGGATCTCTTTTTTTTCTATTTCTCCCGTTTCTAGTGCCATTTTTTTTCTGTTTTCCTCACAATTTTTTAGGACATTTGTGTTCTGTTCCATTCTGCTACTCTTCGTTTCCAGACAGAAAAATCTGTTCAGTTTTGTAGGATAACAGCAGGACCTTAGAAGGAGAGGTGAACTCTGTTTCCTCAGGTCAGCAGTGCAGAGGAAATGGAGACTGAGCATTGACAGTCGTCAAACCCTTGACTCGATAATGACGAGCAGCTAAAAATAGCTTCTCTGAGAAGAAGATGCACATCAGAAGAAAGGAGGAGGTGATGCTTGGTGGTTTCAGTGTGAAGAGGTCAAACCAATGAGGAAAAAAAGGACCCACTCTGAGAAAATGCAGGATGTGAAGTTTATGCAGCTCAAGATTTGAAGAAGAAGAAGAAAATTAACAAAAATTGGATCATATGCAGATGATATTTGGACCTTTTTTTGCAATTAGTATTGGTGGATTGTTTACATCTGTTCTCAAGACAGGAGATAGTTACAGATAGTGACATTTTTAACACCGTTCAGAAACGGATGGGATCTAATACACTCAATGTCATTTTTTCTTACTAATGAAAGGGCGAAGAAGCTTAATTTTCTTAACTACTTGACTATTCACGCATTTGAGCACCAGAGGGCGCTACAGAAGCTCAAGCTTTGCATAAAGTGACACATAATCGACCATGGAAAAAATTAAGAACCCACTGAACTGAACCCGACTGAAAACCTCCTGGTTATTCCACCAAATATTCGTTTTTGAACTCTTCCTGAGTTAAAACTTCAGTATTGTTGTTTCTAAATGAATTTGCTCTTGTTTTCTTTGCATTATTTGAGGTCAGAAAGCACTCAAACAATGAGAAAATAACATTTTTTTCTCTTTTTCTGCAAAATAAATACTACATTTTTGTAGTATTTTTGGAATTTCTGAGACGTTATAAGTCATCCATAGAATAAAAGAAAAATGTTAATTTTACTCAAACATATACCAATAAAAAGTAAAATCAGAGAAACTGATTATTTTAAGTGATCTTCTATTTTTTCCCAGAGCTGTATTTGTAGTGTTTTTAACTAAAACTGCTAATTTTAGAGGCTTTGCTCACTGCAGGAGGCCTGAAGGCAAACCCCTCACAGGTCAGTGAATCAAAAGGAGACATTCAGTGTTTTCCTTCTCCACGCTCCCTCTGGTTTGTCCTGATGTTTCTTCATGTGGAAGAAGCTTTTAGCAGCACATTCAGACTCTCAAATGGGTGATGACTAAAGCTGTGAACTTTGTTGGCACACACCTTCCTTCATTTATGCAGCAGCTCAATCTTTATTGAGAATCTTAAAGAGAAGATAAGAGCCAAATCCAGAAACGCTGGCCAAAATATGTGATACAGACAAGTGAAGGTGATTAAGGATTTATTATATCGTAGTAATCCTACGAGAGAGAATCTCCATCCTCAAGACATCTTGATTTTAATCTTGGCTGTTGTTGCTCTTCTACACATCAGCATAGATCTGGCACATTTTTGTGTTCCTTTTTCACACTTTATCGCTGAACCGGACTGACCTTATCTGGACGGCCAAAGGCAGCAAATCCTTTAAAATCTGGCCTGTGGTGGCTTCTTATGTGGCCCTCTAGGGACATATATTATTTTAACAGTTATGAGTTTTTTATGATTCTGCAATTGTGGAAATTCATGCAAAATCAACCGATCCCCGGACGTTTTTGTGAAGATCCATAATCGTGAGCTTCTTGCAAATTTTCTGCAAAAATGGTCAAAAACATCAGATTTAAATGATGCTTTAGTCCATCCTGAAGGTGACAGTTTTAAACTTTTACTCCACTTCTGCCTCAACATACTTGATGTCAAGTTAAAGTTCATGATCGATAAGACGAGTAACAAAAGTCACAATTACTGTCAAATATTAAGCATAAATATTGCGAAATTTCTTGCGATTATTTCTGAAGTACCACAACAAAATTAGTAATTTTGATTGCAAAAAAATCCCAAAACCAAAGCAAAATCCCAAAGAGACTGATTTACGTAAAACAATGTTCAATGTTATTATTTAACAGTTTGGTAAAACTGTTAAAATGATGATATTTTAACAGTTTTATCTGTAGGATAAATACAGATGCTGTGTTGATGTCCTACACATATGGAGAATTATATTTCCTATCCAAAAATATACAAGAAAGTAAGGATTCATAGTTTTTGTTGTTTGGGTCTAAAAAACTTTACATTTGAGAACCACTTAGATAATATTTCACTAGTAACATTTATTGTGTTGTATTTGTACTTTTGAGAGTTTAAGTACTTCTTTCATGGCTTTAGATATGTAAATGTTGAAAGCGGTCTACTTAGTTATAGGTATGAAAATTTTTTTTCCTTTTTTATTAACATAAAAAAAGTTCTGATTACATATCTGTAATCAGAACTGTGACAATGATAATAATAATAATATAATAATAATAATAATAATAATAATAATAATAATAATAATAATAATAATGGAGGAACTGGGTTCCTGTCTAAGAAAGAAATTCAAATAATTGACATGAGAAAGAAAACAGAGGTAAATCAACTTTCCAGTCATGTTCCAATCTTCTCATCAGTCCACCAGATTCAATGTTTCTCTTCCTGGTTCCCTGTTCATCCTATTATTCATTTTTGTTTTCACCACCAGTCCTGTTCTTTCTGGTGCAAATCTCCTGCTGTCTCCCATTGTCCCAGTTTCTCCCTTGGTGTGACATGCAGAGACAGGTGAGGACGCCTCAGGCTCCTCTGTTTACATCGCCTCTTCAGGGAGACAGCAGGAGACAGGAGTTGATGATGGATGCTCCCCGCTGAGGGGAAATTGTTTCATTTTGCTTCCTGCCAAGTTTGGCTTCTCTGCATTGTCTGTCCTCCCAGTTTAAATCTCCATAATTGAGCCCAGCTCTGGTTGCGTTGGGTCTCCGTTGGTTCATTATGTGAATTCTGCCTTCAGCATAAAAGAAAGGCAGAGATAAATATTTAGAAGCTGGATGAAGAGCAAGTTTCCCAAAGTTTCTGCTCTAATTACGCTGCTTTGAACTTCAGATCAGGTGGATTCATGAGACGGAGATTATCTGCGGTGGAAGCGAGGCTCAGTTTGGGTTTAATTGGAGCTTATAACCGCAGTAAAAGGAGAGAGGCAGATATTGCAGAAACAGCCTCAAAGAGCTCCCATGACGATCATTTAAGGTAGGAAGTTTTAGAAGCTGCAGTGGAAGTTCAAATATCTGGGGATGTTGTTTACAGAGTTGGGAAAGGGCACTTCCTGTTGAGACGACGTGAAGCAAAAAGACGAGTTTTCATCACGAGTCCATAGAGGAACGATTTCATCATTTCTATATGAAGCCTGCAAAAGCAGAAAATATTACCAAGTATTTTTGGTCTAGTTTCTAGTGCAAATGTCTTAGTAGACTTGAAATAAGACAAGCTAACTTAAAACTAACTTTCCAGAAAGTCTCTTGAAATAGAGACTTGTTTTAAGTAAATAATTCCTTAATATTTATGACGAAGTCCTTGTTCTGTTGGCAGATTATTTCACTTATAGCAAGACATTTTTCTCATATTTTAAGTTAACTTATTTGCCAATTGGACATTTTATCAATATTAAGGAGTTATTTACTTAAATAAGTCTCCATGTCTTGCTGACATTTTAAGTTAGTTTGTTCTATTTCAAGTGTTCCACCTCTCTCTCTCTCACTCTCTTTTTTTTCTCTCTGCTGATTACTTCATGTGTTTCATAACAGAGATTTTTTTTAAATATTTTTATTTGGGTGACCTTTCACTGTCAAACACGGAAATAAAAGATGCAACAAATCTCGGAGCTTCATCGCCCTCTAGTGGCCACAAAGTGTATCATCACAACCTGTTTATGTCAGTTTTTTAAAAAAAATTTTGTTATAATTCCTTAAAGTTGAATTTAATTACACATTATTTTCAATAAGTTAACGTGATACGTCAAAACAAACAAAAAAAATCTAAATTGTCGAGAATTTGTGTTCTAGTTTTTTTCTTGGAATAAAAAAGTTGTTTTGTTGAAGAAATGCTTTTGGCTTGTTATTCAGGACAAATATATTCTGGTGTGGTAAAGGAATATTTCACAGATTTTGATATATTTATCCAGGCCTGGAAGAACAGAGCCATTCTTGTTAGTAGAATTATGGAAATTTGGTTCAGTTGGAAGTCAGATTCTGTGAGGCGACCCGAAGGGAGGAAGGCAGACAGATGACAGAAACTGAAAGAAAAGGTTAGGTCTGCAGTCCGTGTGATGTGAAAGGTCAGAAGCTCTCTGCAAACCGTTTGATCCCTTCCACCGTTTTATCTCTTTCTGTCACACTGAGTCGGTCTCTCAAGCTCAAACAGATTTTTAAATATCGCTGCTCAAAAAGCTTCTCATCCACACAGACGGCGACCTTCCAGCCTCTTCCAGCACTCACCCTTGTCAGTCCCTTCTTTCACTACCGGGTGCTGCCGACCCAGCCGTTCTCTCTCCGCTGCTGAGCTTTTAAAGTTCAGGCCTTCAGAGTGGGACCTGTTTGGATCTTTGCTGGAAGCTGCAGGATGGGAGCAGTGATGGCGGCTCTGTCAGTGGAGGCCAGGAGGCGCCTTTCTCGGCCCAGCTGCCTCTCCCATTGCACGACCAGTGCAGCCAGGTACCA